TTTCATTTTTATTTTTTCGTAATTTAGAAGACAATTTATCCATATTGATTTTTAGCAGATTAATATATATATATATATATATATATATATATATATATATATATATATATATATATATAATTTCCCGTATATGTTGGTTGTTCCTCTTCTTTCTTCTTACTACTGCCTTCTGAGCAAAATGTTTTCTTTCCTTCTTTCCATCATTCCTTCCTTCCTAAATTTTATGTTTCAAATGTCTTAAAAAATGTCATTTCTTTAACAAATCTATTTGCATTGACAAGTCTCGAGGAAGAAAAGGGTAATTTGGGTGTCATTTTTATATATATATATATATATATATATATATATATATATATATATATATATATATAAGAAATATAGTCTTAAGGTGTGCTATACTTATGGCATAAAGTGCTCAATATCAGAGATAGAGCGTGTGTAAATATAAAAGTGAACATTGATGTCCATACTTAGAGGCGACAGGCTGTTTCATGCTAGGCGCAATCGTCAGGCCGATATTTAACAGTCCCCCCCACGAGAAATGTTTGTGGCATAAGATCGATATTTAATATATCTCTCCGAGCCCGTATATATATATATAAATATATTCCCATAGAATATGAATAAGCGGGTTCGGGATCTGTCTATATTTATGGGATGAAACTTTTGCCCTTCAGCAAAGCTTCGTCGGGTTTAAATGCCAAAGCAGAAGTTCGACAACGTCGCTTACAGTCAGAGACTGCGTGTCGACTGCCTCAACGCAATCGTTAGGCCACGAGTGTTGTTTTTTTTTTCTCGGCTATTTATATATACGGGTCAGTGGTGCATTGTGGGTAGTCTATTTTGGCAGTTATTGTACCGGAAGTCGTTTATTTGTTTATTTATTTATTTAGGTTAAATTATGTTGTCTGTCATTATTTATTTTTATTTTTTATTTTTTATCTTATATATTTATTTATTTATTTTTATTTTAATCGGTGTTTTTATTAACGTAGTAAAAATGTGTTTATATTGCTTATTTAATAGTTTTGTTTTCATTTGGGAAGATAATTAAAGTTATTTATTCAATTTTGGGGTTGATTAATGCAGTTTATTCTAACTATTATTTTGGCGGGAACAGTTTTTAATTTGTGTTTTACTTCGTGTATTTATTTGGAACGATTATTTTTATTTGTTTCTTTTGTTTTTTGTTTTTTTTCACAAGATTATAATGGAATCCTCCATATTTGCTACTCACCCCTGCGGAAAAATCCACTATTTCCCAAATCAACTTTAACCAA